GAAGCCAAGCAGGTGAACAAGCCCCGTCTCATGATCACGGCTGCTGTTGCTGCAGGACTTTCCAACATTCAGGCTGGCTACCAGATTGCTGAGCTCGGAAAGTGAGTAGCAAACTCTCTGGTATGCTTTCCAGAGCTTCCTTCAAGAGATTTCTTGCAGCACTCCTCCTGCCATTATTGGGCACAGCCCATCCTGAGAGTCCCGAGCCTGAGCAGCCCCCACGCTGTTGTGCAGGGCAAGAAGGCCATGCAGGCAGTGCCTGTTTGGGGCAGACATGGATAGCTGAGGGAAAGAAGGGTAACAGCAGGTGGGCTCCAGCCACTCCAAGCCAGCAGACAACATCTCTCAGTTCCCACAACTTCAGCACAAATCCCACCCTGTGCTGTGCTCTGCCTCCCCCCCTCTAAGGAGGAACTTGCCTCAGCCCTTGGCCAGGTCTGAAGGAACAGTTGGGTCTGCATGATGGAACTGGCCAGGGTGCAGACACAGCAACCTTTCTCTGCAGGTACTTGGACTACTTTCATGTGATGACTTATGACTTCCATGGCTCATGGGATGGACAAACAGGGGAGAACAGCCCTCTATACCAAGGCCCAAGTGACACTGGTGACAATATCTATTTCAATGTTGTAAGTGTAATTTAGGAGCCTGTGTAAGAAAGGTTAGCACTGTGGTCAGAGCAGTGACAATAATGCAAGAATTCACCATCCTGTCTACCAAACCTTGCACAGACTGTAATTCAGGGTTTTTTTTGTTGTTTGTTTTGTTTTGTTTTTAACAGGATTATGCTACGAATTAGTGGAAAAGCAATGGTGCCCCAGCTGAGAAACCAGTTGTGGGATTCTCAACCTACGGAAACACCTTCAGACTGCAAAACCCATCTAATCATGGTCTCGGAGCTCCGACTTCAGGACCAGGACCTGCTGGACCTTACACTCAGGAGGCTGGGACGCTGGCTTACTATGAGGTGTGTATAATATCACTTTTGTGATACTACTTCAAATAATTTCACAGAAAGGATTCATGGAACTTTCTGAATGGCTGCTGCACGGAGCATGATACTCAAGAAAATTCCCCCTTCTCCCTTTCTGCCCAGATCTGCACATTACTGAATTCTGAAGGCACACAAGTTTGGAATGCTCCCCAGGATGTGCCCTATGCCTACAAGAGCAGTGAATGGGTTGGCTATGACAACATCAAGAGCTTCAACATCAAGGTACAGTGGGTGGGAGGTGCAGCTGTACTAAGGACAGAGCAGGAGCCCTTCTGCAGTAGCACGTCTTGGGACAAACAGTCATTTCCCCCCTGGCATTGCACAGGTTGACTGGCTGAAGAAGAACAACTATGGTGGTGCTATGGTTTGGGCCCTTGATATGGATGACTTCACTGGCACTTTCTGTAAACAGGGCAGATATCCCCTGATTACCACCCTGAAGAACGCTCTTGGTCTTCAAAGCCGCAGTGAGTAACCTGAGTGGTGGGGCTTGCTTGCAGGGGATCCACTAGCTTGCTGCTGGTGCAGAGCTTCAGAAGCCCAAGAACTTTCACTTGTAAGGCCTTGGTGGACACACTTCTTTTGTGGAAGCCACAGCAGGAGACTGTGCTGGAAACATCCCTTTACTCTACGTCCCCAGGGATGAAAGTGTGAGATTGGAACTTACGTGTGAGTCCCGATTTTTCAAAGGCCAACAGTGAACCCAGCCAGACTTTGAGTAGGACAAAGTTTAGTCGCTCTTCTGCTGATGCCAGCAGCAGAAAAGGAGAGCTGAGAAACTGCCTACAATAAAATAAGCTTTTTCCTGCTCTTCTCGCAGGCTGTGTGCCCACAACGCCCAGTCCTACCACCACCGCAGTTCTCTGTAATACACAAGGAAGTGAAAGCGGGAGTGAGAGTGGCAGCTCCGGCAGCAATCCCGACAGCTCAGGTGGGAGTGGATTCTGTGCTGGCAAGGCCAACGGCATCTACGCAGATCCAACCAACAAGAGCAAATTCTACAACTGCAATAATGGCGAAACCTTCACGCAGTCGTGCCAGGCCGGTCTCGTCTTTGATTCCAGCTGCTCCTGCTGCAACTGGGCATGAAGCCACCCATTCTGTGAGAGCAAGCTCTCCCGTCTGAACGAATTCCATGGAATAATAATGGTCAATAAAGTGTTCTGCAAAAGTAAAATGCGTGCTGCTTGGACTCATCT